CACTACAACTTCATCTTGTCCCTTTTAACACAGGTAAAATGCTTGTAAAATATAGTCCATCTTGATACATATTTCTTACTTCATCAGCGTGAAAACTAGCATTAGGAGTCAGATTTCATATTGTATAACTTGATCTAGCTTTACATGTGACACCACGTCTAGTTGCTTTGTTTACAGTTAGAAAACTACCTCACAAACATGTAATAAAGTGTACTGCGATAGATTTGTTTACAAATATTCTTAACAAATCACTTTCTGAAATAATAAAGCCCCTGGTATCAAAAAAGGGTTTGGTATTCAAAAACTTTGACGGATGAACTGACTTATCAAGACTTATCAAGACTTATTCAATACCGAAACCATCAAAAAGACGTAGCTCCCAAATACTGACAGTTATGATTTATATCTTGGGATGATCATAGTTCTGCACATTGGGAATGTTCATCCTTTGAAAGATAATTCATATCTTGAGGATGTAGTTTAATCATGATTTTGTTTGCCAAAGTGTTTGAAGGAAAGTGTTTTGCAATACTTACCGACACTTTTCAGATTTTTTCTTTTACTACACTGGCACGTTATTATTTCTGCAGTTTTTTGGACAGGCTCCCTGTAGATGTCAGAACTGAGATTTAGCTCAGAAATGGATCTGAGGTGTTGGAGACAATAACAGTAAATGCTTTACTTCGTTAAATGGTGTAGATGTGGATGCTACACTCCTCTCTGAAAACTCCATGGGTGTGCAGAGCTGTCGGCAACCGTTTCTTTACCTGCTCAACAAGGAAAACCATTTGTGTTTAGAAAACCCAAGAAGCAGAGTAAATGTGAAGGAGCTAACGGCTTAAAATTCACTCATCATGTTTAGATTTAAGCTACACTTTGAGCTGTTTCTTATAGACATTTCTCTGCAGTGAATCTCCCCTTATTTTAGCAATGACTTATGCTCCTTTTTTAGTGGCGTAAAGAAAGCTTTTTCACAACAAATCTTGCTCTAGTGATGTTGATGTTCTCTGAAATGATGCAGTCCGATTGCTGAATTTTAAACAGTTTCTACCTCTCTGTAAAGGGATTGTAGCACTTGCATGTGTGGGTGATTGTGTGTCATTTATAACTGTGACACTAACAACATTTTTTTAAGAATATTGCGTTCCCAAGAACTTAGCTGACAAGTATGAGAAATTGCCTCCCAGGTTGTAACAGTTCTGTAAATCTATATTTTCAGGCGCTTTAAAGCAATCAATGTCATATAAATAATTGAGATTGGTGGTTTATTTTCTTTGGAACCGAAAACCCTGTTGGCCCAGATTTTTCTGAGAGGTGATCATCTGGGACATTCATTCTATTATGTGTTATACTTGTTTCACTCAGAGGCTTGACATCCCTAACAAAAGCTGATGTGTCCTTGTAAACATTTCGCGGAACACTCTTTTGTCATTCTAGTGTCGACAAAGTGTCCTTTTTATTTCATCTATCAGTCTTGATTGCTCTGTTGCTCATATAACCAGCTGCAATGAATACCTAAGTTGTTGTTTACAAGTGATACATGTGTTCTTCTTGCTCATGTCTGCTGAAGATATCCAAACTGCACATCTGTTTATTGGTAAGGAAGACGGATTAACGGAATGTTCAAGAGTCACGTTCTCTCTTTTTCCTTTCATATAAAAACAATTGCCTGCTGTCCAAAAAAAAAAACTAAAATATCAAACTATGAAATTAGTAGCTTGGAGTGATTCCACCAAAAACAAACCCATCTTACAAAGCTTGTGAGAAAAAGGATCTGAAATGTTCCAACCATTTATATACACCTAGCCAGCGGTATGATCGTCATTATAACAATGCCTCTCTCCAGTGGGTATTACACTGCCAGTTGCCTGGGTGCCAATTTTCTGTGGGCTATCCAGATTGCCTGGTATGGCCCTCTTTGGGCTAAGGGCTTTGTTCCATCCATGCACTCCAAGCGTCAAGACCTCTCATATCCCTGTTCTTGGCTCAATGATTGTATATTTGCACGGAGAGCTTGCACTTTATGGCCATTCAGGACCCTGGCAAATGGCAGGTTCGTTTTAACACTGGGCCTCTTTTCCATGGGGTATTATTGCCTAATGGGTTGTTCCATGCCAAGGAGGGTTTTTAGAAGTGGAAAAGGGGCATTGATTATTAGAGTCGGGTTACAGAAGGTGCAGAGTCTATGTCTCCAATATAATAAGACTAGCGTGATGATGTCGAGTTTCTCTTCTGGTTTTTGGTGATTGAATCCGTCGGTTTTTTACCAGGGCAATAGGGATGTAGTACCATTAAACTTGAAGTACGATAGGATCTGGAACAAAAATATAAAAGGGTGATTTCAAAGTGCTCCTTTTGATGGAGTTGAATCACTTGTGCAGTCCAACTGTGAATGTCTTTTTGTGTTATTTCATTCTGTTGTGCCAACTGATTGTGTGGTGGCTGTCTTTTGAATACAACTATTTGAAGGATGGTTGAACCTTACCCAAGTATGACTAAAACATACAGTAGAGCTACATGCTGTGATAGTGGGTTGTGAGAGTAAGAGGACATGGTGCGGAGGTGTCCTTGAGCCTGACAGTGACACCATACCTTCTCCAAGAGAGCTTTTAAAGCTGAACATGACATTTTTGCTCCCTGTAGAATAGGGATAGGTATCATTGGGAGTTTATCGATACCATCACTGCTTATTGATACTCTACTCATACCTCCATCATTTTGTGCAAATAATAACGTGATGTTGCATGAAAATATGTGAAAGATTCAATATATATTTATTTACATAAATAACTGTATTGTTAAAGTCTTTGAGAAGAACAAAAAGAAAAGATAACAAAATAACTTATAAACTAAGATTTTGGATGTCTCATGTGTTTTTTTATCTAACCCTGTCAGCTATTATTGTGGTATTTCAGAATGAATCAAAGCATTAAAACATGAGGCTCAGTATTTTAAATGGTTCGAACGCCTTTATCACATGAGTGTTTCCCACCAACCGCAACGTAGCGTAACATACATACAGATAGCAGCCATGATGTCCAGCAGCTTATCGGTATCATAGGGCTGACCAATCAGGTACCGGTACCAATTTATTACCGGTTATTGATACCCATCCCTACTTTAAAAACATAATCACAAAAGAGTGTATCTGTATGAGATCAATTTAACACTCAATTAGAAGTTGTTTGTTCATACTCGAGTTGCAGCCTGGTAAATTACCTGACATTCAAATATATTTCTTCTAAGAGATGTTGGAACATCAATTAGTATTTGCTTGATCTCAGTCAAAAAGGTAAAATAGCTTGCATGCAACAATTTTCAGTCAGGCTACAAGCATGAACTGAGACAAATAAAGGCACAAACCGCACATTGTTCATCTTTGAACATCAAAGATAAGTATCTTTGTTCACCCTCTGCTTGAAATTCAAATTACACCACACATTCTGGACTGCAGGCTCTTCTTGAAATACAATATTTGTCATATTTAATGCTTAATTAAACGGTTTTAAATGTTTAAAACTACCAAGCCCAAACGCTGCTGCTGCAAAGCCACATTTGAAGTTAAACTCTCCTAATCAGCTGGAACAGTAATATATAAGGTGTTGCATTGTTATCATTGTATCAGTTTCCACAGTTCTCTTTGTTGTTTTGCTGTAGAGTTGGAAATCTCTGGCTACATATGTATTTCTCTTTAATTCAGGTGAGTGAGACACAAAATAGTAAGACATATATATGATATGTTATTTCGGAGCTGAAGTGTCCCTGATGCACTTGATTTACTGCGGTGGTTGACGTTTCATAAAATGTAGATACAAATAAGACGTCATGCTTTGGAAGAAACACATGTGTATCTAAAGTGACAGTTAAATGACGTCATGAAACTACAAATTGGCCGATAAACATTCAAGGCCAACAGTAAAATTCATTTTTGAGAGAGTTGGCAATGATACTTAAATGCGATGCTAAACTTAATTGCAAATCAATTATTATAGATGCTAAACAAAGATGCTCAACATAAGAAAAAATAAGGGTTAACTCCAAACAGCAAAGCAGCATATCATTCCTGAGTGCAATGTCATTTTTATTTGCATAACTGCTGGTATCAGTCAGGCTCTAGTGTATTTTAAAGCTGATGTAGCAGATTGTATAGATGCATAATGCATAATAATGACTTCTAGACTAAGCCCTCCAAAAATAGTTTAAACAATCTGATATTCAGAGAAAAAAACAAACTTGGAATAAAGCCTTTGCGTCTTTTACCTTGAAAATTAATTAGATCATACTGCTGGCCAAATATTCCCCCCAAGGATAAATCCTAATGCTCCAACAATAAACATGTCCGACTCTATTTCAGCTGGAATTCGATCAAATTTAGATGTACTTTTGAAATGCAAAAGACTGCATGTACATAAGGTTGTCTTTTGTAAGCAATCAGTTCAGGTAGACTAATAGCCCCGGGCTCAGTCTAGTCTCATGCCCATGTGACTCTTTGATTTGATTCAGGATGCTTTGTTGGAGTCATTTGAGATCCCTAACGCAGCCTGAATCGGATCATATCCCAGGTTTGCCTCTCCAGGACAACGCCCAAGAGTCAACCTTGTTGTACACAAACAAATATCACAGGACAAACCTAAATAAACGAGTAGAGAATCAGATGCTACCGCCTATGTGACATTGTGGGCCGATATATTTAATCAGTGCTGTCCACCAGCATCATCCAAACACCAAATGAAGGAATAACTTTTGTTCATCCCTCCAGAGACAGGTATTTTTTGTAACCGTCTTTCATCATTTTGGCAGCTAAGGACAAGCATGTGTACTAGCATTGTCTTTTTAAAGTGCACAGTAAGTGATCAAAGAGTGCATGGTGCTTTGGGAGCCATGACTAATGGTGGACACTCATTATGGACGACCCTGGATGGGCCGAGGTTACAGTTGCTTGAGGCCTGAACACAGAAACACTTAGTCACTGATGTCTCTTGTTGGCTTTGGTCCTCCAGGTTTTGATGACCGCGACACAGACCTGTTCTTGTGCGACACCAACACATGCAAGTTCGATGGGGAATGTCTAAGAATTGGGAACATGGTGACATGCATTTGCGACTTCAAGGTAAGATCTTTTTATACTTTTGTTTCACTGTTCTATTTTCCTTTTGAGGTGTGTTTGGTGTTAATGGGCAGTTCATTAAACAACCTATAGAAATGCAAAACGGCCTCAGTTTAGACGTAATGCTGTCCTTCTGCTTACCGCATAATTTATGAGAATACATTTCATAACATTAAACCGTAGGAACACAGATTGTCTTATTATAGATTTAGCTGTAAATGCTTACGGGCTGTCAAGCTTTGGATGTCCTTACATGTGGAAGCAGTGTGCATTGAGCTGTAGAAGGAACAATACTCTGCATTTAGTTGAGAAATGTATGTCTTTTTTTTAAACAACTCTAAAGCAAAAGCACAAAAAAAGTGTTAAGAATGGATTAAACGGGGTCTTATATACTTACCCAAGATGCAATCGTTAGCATTACTAACTAGCTTAAAAAACACTGTAGTAACAAAGTCTTACTTACACGGATATTTCATTAATAGCTGTTATTGTTTGTTAAAAAAGCCCTGTTTATGACTGGCATATTCTTTGAGTAGTATTACTCCACTGTCTGGAGATCAACATTAACAGCTTTTGGCCAACGCAGGGTTGGGGTAGATAATCCATTTGTATTCTGTCCATGAGAAAATAACCCTACTTCCCACTTGATTTATTCAACATTTTCCTCCTCATTTTTTTCCAGCCTCTCCGGTTGATATTCTGGGCTCTATCAAAAAAATATATACTCCCCTCGGTCATGATCCTTGGAGTGACCTTCACTAGCACTTTTAAATTTGACAAGCAGGTCAGCACCGTAGTCAAATCCTGCTTTTTTAAAATAAGACTATTGGCCAAAACCAAGTCGTATTTATCTTTTAATGACTTAGAAAGGGTTATTAACGCCTTTGTAACCTCGAGACTGGACTATTGTAACGCTCTGTATGTGGGTATGGACCAGGCCTCAATCAAACGCTTACAGCTAGTCCAAAACGCTGCTGCACGTTTGCTGACTGGCCACAAAAAGCGTGACCACATCACCCCTATTCTGGCCTCACTACACTGGCTTCCAGTTCGGTTCAGAATTGATTTTAAAATCCTTTTATTTGTTTTTAAAGCACTAAATGGGCTGGCTCCGGCCTATATAGCTGAACTCCTCCAGCGCTACACCCCAGCCAGAGCTTTAAGGTCTGCTGACCAGCTGCTGCTGATAGTGCCCAAGACCAGGCTCAAAACCAGAGGGCACCGAGCCTTCGCAGCAGCTGGCCCTAGGCTCTGGAACACTCTGCCCCTCCATGTGAGGTCGGCCCAGACCCTAGGGGTTTTTAAATCTACACTAAAAACACACTTCTTCTCTCTGGCTTTCTAGTTAGAGCGGAGCACGACTCCTGACTTTTCCGTGTGTTTTATTTTTATTTTGTTTTTAAGATATATCTGTTGTAATTTATTGTCGTTTATTGTGATTTGTAGTAATGTGTTTTTTATTACATGTACAGCACTTTGGCTCGACCAAAAATCGCTTTTAAATGTGCTATATAAATAAAACCTGATTTGATTTGATTTGATTTGAACATTTTCCTGTTCAAATCTTCCTCAGTAAAGCATGATGTTTATTTTGTTGATTAAAGTCCTATTTAGTAAAAAGAGACAATCAAATGGGTATGATTTAGGGCATGGCTAACATCCAGTTGGGGAGTTAGATGTTTTAGTCTGATAACTTTTACCTTTTTAAAGCAGGTTATTCATTCATGAAGGCAAACTGTAATATTTATGTTGGCAAAAAAATGTTGTTCGGTGTTCATTTGTCGCGTCCACCCTCTCATGTCTCTTCTGGTTCATAAAAAACAAGATGGCGTTGGCCAAAATGCCAAATTCCAGATTTCAAAATAGTCTTTCACAAAACATTGGATGGCGTAACAGTGGCTACTTCATTTTAGTGCGTGGAAAATAATAACAAGTGAGGGGAATACAGCATTTTTTAACCAATCCATCGAGCCAAAGTTAGGTTTAATAGGTTATTAGCCATAACCGATAACATCTGGTTTAGTCAACGATTAATCAAGTGTTGTGGGTTGCCACATTACTCGTCCAAGATTTTGCCAAATAGATAAATCATCTTTCTTTTAGTCTAGAAATGTTTGATTAGAACCCAATATATAGCAAAGGTTAGTGTATGCTTGCATAGTACATCAACAACTGAGTAAATGCATGAAACAGAGGAGCTTAGATCAGTTTAATACTTGTATTGTATTATGTTGCTGTATCTACTTGAAACTTAACAGGTTTCTATTGTCAAGTGTTCACATAGTGATATTCACAGAAAGTGCTCTTTAAGAGCAAAAAAAGCTTACATTAAAATATACTTACTTGAAAAAGGTTGAGATGAAAGGTTACATGTATAAATACAATTAACATAGATCGAAGTCCATTGTCTTGATTGGACAATATTAGTCCCAAGGGGTGGTGGTTTACAGCTCCTTGTGAAATTTCATTAGACTATGTTGGACCACTGTTCACTCTCCACATTCATAAACAAGTCTTCCCCCGATAAGGCTAAAACTGAAAGACCCTCGTTAATGGCATAAATCTGGGAAATTATACCCTTCTTGATTATGACTCATACTTAACTTTACGACCACACCGATAATAAAAAAGGAGCAAACCAGTCAGCCGAGTATTGATTTTAGTGTAACGTTTGCCAGACTAATACGCTATGCAGAGCCCTACATAAATGAAGCCGCAGAGATCTAAAGACGTAGCATGTGTTCTCATCCGTCGCTTTTATCAGAGCGTCATCAGCACAGCCAGGCACTCGGCAGGCTGACACTCGATTGGTCACCAGCTTTTATCTCAATTTCGTACTTCCCTGGGAGCCAACGTTAACAGAGGCCTTGCAGATAAATGACATTACAGCTCCATTCCTCTTCAGGAGATCTCACACTGATAGTGCTGTCGCTGTTCACCGAGCAGCTCTCTATGCCTTTAGAAAAGAGCAGGTCAGACCACAATTTCTTGCTTAATACCGCAGGTCTGAGGTCAACTCATCCATGCATCTTCTGTTTGTTTGTGGGGGAGGTTTTACCGGATACCTTTGTTTCATCAGTCAACGTAAATATGACATTCCTAGCCTAGCAACTGTTGCTTTGTACCGGAATAATCAGTCACTCTCAATCAGTGTCAAATAAACGGGTCCAAGATTCGTCTCATAGCGGCAGTTCATTGAGCACTGTTAGCAGGGACATGAAAGTTGTATACATTCTCATCTTGGATGGATTTTCTTTATTCTAGCAGAATATATAGATGTGTGCGTGCAAACTCTCACACAGAAAAAAAACTCGAAGGAAGAGACATGCAAGGAGTTCTGTGAGGAGGAAGTGAGTTTGATGTGGTGGGATCAATGGACACTATTCATTGCCAAGATGCATTAGATTCGTCTCACACTGGCCCTTGAAAGAGCCAAGACTTTCACTCACTAAGCGGAGTCAAATAGCTACAGAGCAACGCACTCTCTCGTACCTGAACATGAGTTTTTTCTACGAACGCCGTAGCTTGACTAATCACTAACAGTCCTTTGTCATTCATCTCACAATAGCTGCTGGGGATAGCTATTGTTGCCAGTTTGGTTTTGTTAATGTCAGGTCACAGTGCTGATTCCCAAAAGAGTCGTCCGTTCTAAAAATATGTGTGCTCATGGCACTGAAGCACTTCAACTAGAACTGCCCACCAAAGGCTAAATGGCATATCTCATTCCTTTCTTTAATGGTGCTTTGTAATATATTCCTGTGGTTTGGGAGGCACTGAAAGTGTTTCATTACAACACTGTACAGTATGCAGCTCTGATTTTCTGCTATGTTTTGTACAGTTTTGTTACAGAAAATGTTGCTTAGAGTTCTATATGAATGCAGGTTAGATACAAGATACAGAAATGTTTTCCATTGCCAACAGATTGTCCTGTTGCGATTACGTTATCGACTTATTGTACAATATATAGACATTACCTCAATAATGTTCACTTGCCTCTATATTAGCCATGTGTTTGTTTACATATAATTGTCACCAATATTTTTCCAACAAGGTTTTTCCTTGGCGTCTTGGGCATTGGGAAGACATCCATAATAATGTCAACAGAGCCATTTTCTATGATTTGTTTATTTAAGATTTGTTTTCCTTTTTTTTTGCATCCCAATTCCAATGTCTAGATTTCACTGATCTTTGAAAAGGTGAATTTGCATTATATTTTCTTATGTTATCATTATCAAATTATACATTTTACAACGTTCTTTGCATTTATTTCTGGGACGATGTCAATCAACAAAATTGTCTATCGTGACAGGCCTACCAACATAGAGTTTTCTGGTATGCTAACATTTTTGACAAGTTAATTGCATAACATTAAGCTGTTGCCTTGACAAATGTATCCAATAAAAAGTGTGCAAATGTGTATCTTTAAAAGTTTATTGGGCAGTCATTTCTCAAAAATACTTGAGTATATGACATGTGAAAGACAGAAAGTAGTGGTGGAATTTACCCATTAACCAATGAGGAGCAAAATAATCCATACATGCAAGCTCTGGAATAGGATTTGAATAAAAACTGTAAATATTTAATATTGTCCATCTTTTTTATATCATCATTTTCCAACTTAGTATTCTTTTCAACTATGAAGTAAATAAGAAAGTTGAAATCTAAAGAAAAACATCTATGGCAGTAGTTAACCATACGTTTTTGAACATTGTGCATTAAATCTTGTGAATTAATGACAATCTGCCAACAGTTAGTGAAAAGGGCCAACTATAGAAAAATTCATCAAAACGAGAAAAAAGATTATTGGCAGAAAACACACTCGATGCATCCAATAAAAACATGTGCCAGCACATCTTTTGTGCTTAAGTTCAATTGGCGGAAAAGAGTCTTGATGTTGACATTTGTTTGAAAGGCGTTCAAGTCGTAAAGGGCAGGGAGTTGGACATCTCAGTGTGTAGTTCTGGAATAGACACAGCAGGATGTGTACAAATGAGATGCAGCAG